TGCTAGGTTGTCTTTAGGTTTTTGTAAACTGGGAGACCACTTCTACATCAAGTAAAAGTACATTTAGTTGCTCTCTGCTTCAGAATTTTATACCTGGAAAGACAATACGGAAAGACAGACGGGCAGCAGTTTCACTGTTTCGACAGGAAAACTAAAGTGGATGGCAGTAGATGTCAAGCCAGCATTTTATTGCCACCGTCCTCGAAAATTTTGAGGGTGCTCCCATGGACCAACGGCTGAGACGAAAGAAGACTCAAGGCAGCTGCAAAATAGGCCAACGCTGTCTTGAATCACTGAAAGCAAGAGAAAAAGACGGCAAAATTTTAGTAACGTTCCAAAAAAAAACACATTATGGCCATGGTGAAAATGATGCTGAACACCAAAGGATCTCTGGTGCAGAAGCTCAAGTGCTTGCAGGCAAGAAATTTATTTTGTTTAAATTTTTCATTTCTCCTCGCAGCATTATGTGATTGGCTCAATCTGTATACATTTGATTACTAATTGCATTATTTGTTGCACTTCCCGAGTAATTAAGCATGTGGGCCGTTGCTGCCAAGCATGTTATTAAGAGTTCTTTCTTAGTTTAATCATTGTGTACGCATTCTACACAGTGTGGAACAAAGCTTGCACGAGATTGCGTTTCTATTATTGTGTTTGATAACAGCCTCAATATTGTGCGTATCGGGGGAAAGGTGTGGCTATCGGGCATGCTCATCCCTCTCGTGCTTCAAACAAAACAGACAGAGGTCTCGGGAACAGAGTGCAATCTATTTCATGCAAAGAGCTGAACGTGCTTAACCCAGCATCACAACTGCACTACGGGGACTACTGATGAGCAGGCAACAGAGTGAGGTGAGCACTGAAGAAGTGCAAGTGCGGTGCCTGAGTGGTGCCACTACGTGAGTTCTGAATCGGAGTAACCTGACAGTGCGCAGGCTACTTAAGTGCCCAGCCAGTGGGTCATCAGCCACACCATTACTACATACCACACGGCACTATCACACAAGTGTGAACGTGGTTCCCGCAAAATCTAGATATATTTTCAAGGGCTGCCTATAATTTGGTGACTCATTTAGCCAACTTTGAGCTCTCTTTATGTTCCCTACCGCCAAAACTAGATACTTTAAGCAGGTCAATTACAACTATAGTTTTCCGTAAATTTGCGTGATACTAATGTGTGGTGGTTGACTGTGGTGGAGGTAAAGTGAGCTTCCACTATAAAATGTGGAAGCTCACTTTACCTCCACCACAGATGTGAAATGCTAGAGACAATCTTAAAGACACAAACTCAAATACAACCTAGGCTAACTCAGATAGAAGAAAAATTGGAACCTTTGTCTGAATATGCTACTAAGATAAATAACCTTGACATTGCTGTTGAAAGCCTCCAGCGCACGATTGAACAACAGCAAGAAAGGTTAATCGAATTGGAAGACAGGGCTAGAAGAAATAATCTTCTTGTTTTTGGTGTCACTGAGACTGATAAGGAAACACGACAGGACATTGAAGAGAAAGTATTAAAAAACATATTCTCAACGCGCCTTGGTGTTACAGTGTCCTCAGTAGAAAGAATTCACCGCATTGGTCAGAAGAAAAGCAAACAGGACAGACCAGTAATTGTAAGATTTTATGACTACAATGAAAAGATGGCCATATTTAGGAGCTGCAAAAATTGAGAGGTACTAATATCGCAGTCTCTGACGACTACTCAAAAGAAACATTAGAAAAAAGGAAGTCCCTTTGGCGCTCTGCTCTTGATGATAGGCGCAATGGTGCGAAGGTGAGGCTTGTTCGAGATAAGCTTTACATCGACGACGCTGCTTATACGTGGGATTCCCGTTCCCATACACGCGTGAAAGTTAAGAACGCTCAAAGCGAAGCACGCAGCCCGGTCTGACAAAAGAAGCAGTGCGACATAAAGCTGATAAACGTGAATGCACGAAGCGTTTTGAAAAAAACAGAAGAACTAGAATCGTTGACACTAATTTATGACCCTGACCTCGTGACTGTAACAGAACTTGGCTAACAGAGGATGTTGCAGATACGGATGTTTTTCCCATTTCATTTCATGTACTGCGTAATGACAGACTAACCCGAGGCGGAGGCGTTGCTTTACTGATTAAGAAAACTCTTCGGTACGAATTATTGCCGCCCATTAAAGACTGTGAAAACGTGTGGTGCAAATTATTTATGGGAGATATCACGTTACTTATAGGGGTTCTCTATAGGCCCCCCGGAACTTCAGTTGATATTTTTGAGAAATTGGATGACTACTTGCTAACAATGACAAACAAACGAAGCAGAGTAATAATCACAGGCGATTTTAATTTACCAGGTGTTGACTGGAATGCACGAGTTGCTGGGCCGCTTAACAGGCCTCTTGCAGAAAATCTGCTTGACATCATGATCAAGTACGATTTGGTTCAGGTAGTTGACAAGCCCACTCGAGTCAAGGAGAAACCGAGACATTGTTGGACTTACTATTTTTGTCACAGGAAGTGTTTGATTATGAAATAAGTATTGAGGATGGAATCTCGGATCATAAGGTGGTTGCAGCAACTCTTAAACCAAATAAAAAATTAGAAAAAATAACCAGAGTAAAGGTGTACAGTTTTCAGGCCGCAGATGATACCTCAATTCTTGATTACTTAGAAATGGCTTTTGACGCTATCCCGCCTACAGATGATGTAAATGACCTCTGGGAATACTTTAAGAAGGTAGTAAACGACTGTTTGTCACGTTTTGTTCCCCAAAGAGAAAAGAGAACTGCAAAAGCTAACCCATGGATTACCAGAAGCATCATTCACCTAAAACGACGACTATGTCGCGCCCGTCAGAAAATACCAAGAAACTCGTCTGTTATTGCTCACATTAGTGCTCAGGTACGAAGAGAAGTCAAGCAATCTAAAAGTAATTTTCTAACTAATATATTGTCTGAATATATATCCAACTCTCCCCAGAAATTTTGGCGGTACCTGTCGAGTTCGCAGTCTGAAATAACTGGGCTTTCTATAGACGGGACCTCCTATAGCGAACCAGTTCAGATTGCCGAAGCATTCAATCATTACTTCAGTACCGTTTTTCTCCAAGTATTGATCATTCAAAAAAGGCTGTACGTTCGATGATACTAGTTCCAATCTTCTTACCGTATCTAAAGAGGGCGTAATGGCTTTACTGCTTGAATTGGATCATAAAAATCACCTGGTCCGGATATGATTCCTAACGAATTTTTGAGGCGCTACTCTGATTGGGTTTCTAGTTTCTTAGTTAAAATTTTTAATTTATCTTTGTGTACTGCCGCTGTTCCGATTGATTGGTTATTAGCAAGAGTTGTGCCCATTTTCAAAGCTGGTGACCGCCTTAATGTTTGTAATTACCGTCCAATTTCTATCACATGCACGGCATGCAAAGTAATAGAACATATAATTTCAAAATATATATTTCAATATATAGAAAACAATAATCTGTTTATAATAAGCAACACGGTTTTAGAAAAGGCCTTTCAAACGTCACTCAGCTTTTTGAATCTGTTCATGCTTTCGCTACAGCGATAAACTCAAAAGAACAAGTCGATGTCATAGCAATTGATTTCTCTAAGGCCTTTGATAGAGTATGTCATCAGAAACTTATTCAAAAAATGTTAATACTTGGTATTGATCCCGCAATTGTAAGATGGGTTGAAGCGTACTTGCGCAATAGGTTGCAGTTTGTTGAAATAAGTGGCGCACGTTCTTCTCTTTTACGCGTATCCTCAGGTGTGCCACAAGGCTCCGTGTTGGGACCTCTACTCTTTTTAATTTATGTGAATGATATTGCAACGGTTGTGCCTCCTTTTGTTGATGTAAGGTTATATGCAGATGATTGTCTCTTGTTTTGTCATGTGAAAAGTGTTTCTGATCAAATGCTCCTCAATGATGCTCTTCGATGTATTGACAACTGGTGTGAAAAATGGGACATGAAAATTAATTTTGATAAAACTGTGTGCATGACAATTTCAAATAAAAAAAAACCCCTTAACTATAAATACACAATAAACAATAGAGAAATTAAAAGTTCTAATGAGCTTAAATACTTAGGTGTTACTATATCCAGCAGTTTAAAGTGGGACAAGCATATTGACAATATTACAGGACTGGCGAAGCGAAAGCTGGGTTTTCTGAGAAGGAAACTCCGTAATGCACCGCCCTCTGTTAAATTGTTGGCGTATAAGACTATTGTTAGACCAACGCTGGAGTACGCAGCTATCATCTGGGATCCGCATACTAAAACTGAAATTAACAAACTTGAACGAGTACAAAGATTGGCCGCGAGGTTTATTTATTCAAATTACATGAGAACACAGTCTGTATCACTTTTTCTTGCTAGGGCTGACCTTCAATCGTTAGCTACACGTAGAAAAATAGCTCGCTTAAAATTTATTTATGACCTGTATCATAAAAACTACAAGCTGGATCCCAGTGTATACCTGCGCCCCCCAGGACGAGTATCGGCTCGTACCAATCACTCATTTTCTGTCCAAGCTTATGTACCGCGGGTGGATGTATTTAGGTTTTCGTTTCTGGTGCGATCTATTGTTGACTGGAATGCGCTTCCTCCCGAGGTACTTACAGGATGTAGATCCTCACAGGATTTTCAACGACGGCTGGACTTGTTTTTTGCCTAACATTGTTTGTGTATTGTTAACCTGTTCACCTCCCACCCCTGCTACAGCCCGCAAGGGCTAGCAGTATTGTAAATAAATAAATAAATAAATGTATGGGCATCTCTGAAGCCATTAATATTGAACTAATACTTACAGAAGTGAGATAACTTACAAGAGCAAAAAAAGTTTCGCTTGGTGGAGGAAAACAGGCTTCCTCACTAGCATAAAATGAACAGTAATTGGACAGACGTCAAAATATGGCGCACTCTTTGAGTTTACAAGCTTCATAATTGCAGTAATGTAGCATGAATGGCATTCGGTGCTCACCCAAACTTATTCTTTTGATCTTTTTCTCGTTTTTCAGGTCAGTTAGCTCAAGGAGGGCCCCCATATACCATTCTATCCAAGATTCGGGCTGGAACTGCAGTGAGTAGTATTGAGCCATCAAGATGGCAGCTTGTCACTACAAAGGACCTTCACAACATTTGATTTAAGTTTAATGACTTCAGAAGTGTTGAATTTTAGGTAACAAAAATGGAGGCACAAGGAGACAACTCATCTTTGCTATACTTCAAAAAGGAATATCAACTGTCAGACTATGAATATGACTTTAAGCTTGCCCTTATGACTTCACCTCAGCAGAAACTCCTTGAGAAGCTCGGTTCTAAGAAACTTTAGATTGACTCAACGCATGGCACAAATGCATACAAGTTTTTTCTCACGACCTTGCTCACAGTTACTGAAGAAGTATCTCATATGCCATGTGCCTACCTAATATCAGAGAGAGTAGACATAGAAACCATGGTACGGTTTTATGAGGCTATAAAGAAAAGGACAAATGTACTACATTGTAAGGCCTTCATGTCAGATGATGCCCCAGCTTTAGGCAACGCATGGCAGCAAGTATTGGGTCCAGTTCAACATAGACTGCTCTGTTCTTGGCATGTCATGCGGAACTGGAACAAGCACCTTACTATTGTCACCAACAAGAAGATCAAGGATTTGGTTAAATAAATTTTGATAACTCTCTTGAACTGTACAGACACCGAAAATTTCAAGCAATTGCTTCCAGGTTTTCAACCGACTCTCTCCAAACGGCATGGCATTGAGTTCCTTCCTTCCAACGATAAGCGAGAACTGGAAGCTTTCATCAAGCACTTTGAAATCACCTATGCTAACGGGCAGACTAGTGGGCTATCTGCTACAGAAAGTGTGTTGGCCTGGCCACAAATAACTAAGTTGAGGCAATGCACGAAACTTTGAAACATGGCTTACTGGAAAGCAAGCATAACAGTCGTATAGACAAGTTCATTTGGGTGCTTTTCATGGTGACTACTGACAAAATTTATGCAAGAGGAATTGCACGTGAGAAGAGTATTCCTAACCGTAGAAAGACTGTGCTGTTTCAGAAGCACAAGGCAGGCATGATGTTTTCAGAAGCTGACATCAAGGCAGTTGGAGAAGGAGACTGGCTGGTGAAGTCTAAGAGCTTGCAGAAATTCTGGCACACAGCGCAGAAAACAAGCAATGCGTGCAGTGGTTGTGAGCTGCACTGCAAATACTGTAAGGCTTGCCACAATATGTACACATGCTGTCCACCACGTAACTCATGCACACATGTGCAATCACATTCATGCGGTGGCTTTGCAACAACTACAGCACGGTGTTTTGCTAAACGTTTTTGAGCAGGGAGACTCCTCTGTCGACTTGGGAAGTGAGTGCTTTCCTGCCGTCGACAACCCAGGCTCCCTCATGGTCAGTGCTCAAGAAATCATATGCAGTGCAGCCCAAAGATTGCCAGAAAGGACGCAGGAATCACTTCGGCCTTCAGGGAGGGTGCTTTTCAGACAGCAATTAAAATAATACCTGAAAGACAATCCAAGGAATGCCAAGCAATATATGACAACTTTGTGAAATTCACTGCGAAGCACAAGCTTGATGGCTCATCACAACAGCATAGAAAGAAGTCTAAAGTGATGCTTCCTAACAAGGATGCTGAGAAGCAGCCAAGGTATGGACAGCGAAAGGACAAGAAAGTTCCCAGGGCTTTCAGGCATGCCCCCACATTGCTGCAACAAGAAGCTATATAGCAACAGATGGTGAGTAGTGATGAGGAATCCTTGTTTATACATAGCGGCAGCGAACATGACTACATTAGCACAAGTTCTCAAAAAAGTGAATTCAGCATTTTTTTTAAATGAACACTTACAAGTATTGAAAAGTTGCTCCTCTTGGAAATCAGGTTGACTGTTGTTCTCTGGAGAATAATCCGTCAGCACTGAGCACTTGCACATGGCTGCTGTTTGTATGGTGTGTGCGTTAGAGCGCGAGAGGCACCTATAGACTTGGCCTTGTGTATTGCTGAATATGAAGGAAGACCAAGAGAAATAAGGAGTCATTGCCAACGAAGATGTCACGTCTGGAACGAAGCATTGAACAAAGATACCCTTAACAGGTACTCCCCTCTGAAATAGGATTGATGCTCTGGAGAATATGTCAGCACTAACACATGACTACTGTTTGTATGGTATGTGCGTTAGAGTGCGAGAGACACCTATAGACTTGCCCTCGTGTATTGCTGAACATGAACCAAGACCAAGACAATTAAGGAGTCATTTCTAACGAAGATGTCACGTCTGGAACGAATCATAGACCAAAGACGCCCTTAAGAGGTGCTCCTCTCTGAAGTAGGATTGACTGTTCCGAAAAATATGCCAGAACTGAGCACTCGCACATGGCTAATGTGCTTAGTATTTGCATTTCTGAGCATGACTGCAGCTTGTACGGCACATCTGTTAAACATCCTGGGTGGCTACGCGGTGGTAGGGATGATTTTTTTCAGGTATGAAGGAATATTATGTTTGCTTAGGTAAAAATGTGTGCATAGGCAGTTTACGTGCTATTATGTGCAGGTCACTTAGCTGTTTCAGGACGCTCAGGTGAATGTGGATTCATAAATACGTGTGCATTTTTGTTTCATGTTATTTATTCAACGTTAAAAAAGTTTCTGCATCTGGCAGTGGAAGAACATTTTTTTTCTCTCGGCAGAATCTGATTGCTAGAGAGCGCGTCTTCCAGGTGGCGGATAGGGAGGCTCTTACCAGAAGGTGGTGTTCAGAGAATGAGTTTCATTTCGTACGACACCCTTGAAATTCTTTCAATCATATGAGTGATTAGCCTGCAGCACCTCGGTACACTCTAGTGGCAAGAAGGTTAACAGCAAATGCGAAAATGTAATTCAGTTTCTACATTGGGGGCTGTTTGCTATGTTTTGTTCAGTAGGTCAATTACGCTGCCTCCATTTTCTGCAAGGCCCGGTAATGTATGAAGACCAATCCATGCGGCTACAATTACTTTAACCGCTTCTGCTTCTCCTTAGTCACAATTCTGTTTCAACTTCATCTTTTAACGGTAATGCTTTTAACACTGGCAACAAGAAGTCTCTTTTAAAAAGAAATAAAAAAAATTAGCGCCATCACGTCAAAAATTGGGCGAATCCCACTACTTTCCATTGGTACGCTAGAAAAGGCAACAAATGGGAAGCTGACACCAAGTAAGATTTCTAGGCAGATTCAACACTGCATGGCAAGGGGGCAGGAAAGAAAGCGAGGAGGGAAGATGGGAGTAGGGGAAAGCATAAACTGTAGATGAGAAAAAGTCTGACAACTCTGTACTTTCTTCAGGCTTGACACCACATAAAGCGCCCCATCCGCTCTACTTTTAAATCGGAATTGTGCCTCCACTGAAAGCTATGCTAATACCTCCCTCCCTCTTTCCTTGGCTTTTTTGCATATAGGAATGATGCTTGTAGCTTGGACGTTTTGTGTGCTTGTGCATACTGTCACTTCGTCCAGTAACACTGTAGATATTTGCGTGCTACTAGAGAATTCCTAGAGCCTGCAAGCAGTACCAAAATGTCTAGGCGAATTTGCAATGATATCCAACAGCAGATATGGCAGCATTGCTTCTTTGGTAGGAGTGGTGCTTGTACTCGCGGACCAACAGGTTATTAAAATAACATCTGCTACATTCTGCATTAATGTTTTTCGCTCAGTTTGAAAAACCTTGGCACACTCTAAGTGTTAGGGGCAGCAGCACGTTTCCCTTTTATTTTCTTTAAAACCCTTGAGAGGATATTACATAAGGGGTTGGTTAACATACAATTGATATTATTGTCACAATGGTCAACGTGAAGTTGCATTTGAAATATTATGCATAAAGCTGGATAGGCTGGTAATTGAGGCATATATTACAGATTGTACTGTGTGGATTCTTGGGCTGCAGATGTACAACCACCACCATGTCTGTGTAGAGCGCCCGAAAAGCTGGTTTTTGCTCTGTGGAGCGACAGTTATAGGCAATTTCAGACTCCGACGTGGTGTGTCAGGAGCACGCGCCACTTAGTAGTGTGGCTGACCACGTCAGGGCCCGAAGCTGCCTCAAACTTTCGCTCCACTGAGCAGAAACCAGCTGCTCGCCCACTCTACACAGACGTGGTTGCGGTTGTACACTTATATTTGTCTTGCCACTGCTAGTGTGCATTATTTGGCGTACTGCAGTAGTCTATAGTGAATTATCTATTGAAAGAACCTGAAGGCACTGGAAAATACTTTTCATGTGGCACTCAATTGCAGCCCTCACTGAAGCATCTTGGACTTGCATGTTAGTGAGCAAGAGCCTTGCAGCAAAGGGAGTGAGACTCCTACGGAAGCACACTATTGTCTGCGAAATCAGTTCGCTTGCAAAGAGCGTCGTTCAAAACAAGTATGCTTTACATTGAAGTCGCCAAGTGGGAGAGGTGTGCGGAACGTGCCTGGCAACTTTACTTTAGGCACTAATTGTGCGAAACATTGACGTGCTTGAACATTTCAGTGGAGCCGCACATGCATAAAGTCATTTATATAAAGTAGTCAGGGTGGTTCACGCTCTTGCTAATAACCCAACTTAATGTGCGCGGCAAAAGTAAGCAATTTAGGCTCAAAGAACTAAACATTCCCTGAAAAAAATTGGCAATACCACTTTACCACACCCCTTCCTAACATTCTAGCCAAATGAACATTTTTAGTGTCATCATGTCAGAATACGCTTCGGGATCTTTTGCTGCAATGTAGCCCCATTTTCTTGGAGCTGAACTAGTTATTATTTCTTGGCATGTAAGTGGTGTTGAGCCTGTGCCGGTTTGAAAGGAGATTTCTGGCACAAGCTTCTATTCTTGCAACGCAAGAGGTCCAAAAAATATAAAAGCATGCTATGCTACTGCGTAAGTGATTGAACAATATATTGATGCATACTTTCAGTGCAAATAGTATGTTAATACACATCTCTTTCTTAGACAGCCTCCTCTGGAAATCTTGTCTCATAATAACGGAGAAGAACTACGCAGTCTTCTCGTGCCCAGCTCTCCAAAGGTTGGAAAGAAATGAGGTGAATGCCATGGCCCATGCATGAACTTTCTGAGCAGCGATTTTAGCCATCTGTGCCGAGTTCCAAGTCTCTACGCCTTAAGAAGATTGCAAACCGACATTCGCAAAGGTACTTGCTCGGGCTACTGGTACTCCATTGAGTTGCTATGTAGCACAAGTGTGCTATATATCTGCGTGGACGCACGGTTACCCTATATCATACATTTCATGTCTTTCTTTATTAAAAAATTCAGTTGAAAATTGAAACTTGCGTGTGTCTCTTCCTCTTGGCTCTCGTCCCTGAAGTTTGTGCTATATAGCAATTTTTCCCAAATGGCCTGCTTATGCATCAGCGCTTTACCCGAAAAGTATATGCCTCTCCCCTCAAACACAACAGAAAAGGGGGTCCTCAACAAGAGTAAAATTCAAGCTAGAGTTTATCCCTTCTTCAAAAAAAATTGCATACCATGTTGCCTACGTGCTACTGAAGTTCCCACTCTTGGTGCATAGGAATTCCTAACTTTGCATTAGCTGGGGCTGCTCAAAGCATTCCCCCCCCCCCCACACACTCCTGTTGCACGTAATGAAATGACCCCTAACAGACATGTTGGAGCAGCGGGAGACACAACTGTCCAGCTCTGAACGGGTCAACAAGAAAGTGTCAATCAACCCGGTTGAAATATTTCAACAGTGGTTGTTCTGTACAGTTTTATTAGACATTATTAGCCTGCAGCCTGAAGAACTCTTTTGCGGCATGAGCTTTCTGCTGTTTCATTTGCTATATAGACAACCACTTCCTGTCTGTAGGTCAACTCATTGCTTGACACTCTACATCTGTCTAATCTCAGGTTGACGTTTGTGACATTGAAAAGCTAATATGTTAACTTTGAGTTGCTCTGATGTCTGAGCACTCTTACTGCAAGCTATATGAAAACCGAATCAATGTGCATAAACGTTTATTCTTCCTGGCAACCTTTGGCAAATCAGAGGTCCTATTTCTCGTGTGTTGGACACACATTCTCCGATCCCTCTATCAGGTTCGCAGTAGAACCGTAAGCCTGCTTGGAAGCATCTACTGGCGTGGTAGATTATTTAAAACAAGAAAGTGAAAAAAAAAGATTAAGAACAGATGTATTGTTGGGCACAGTTCTCTTAAGACCACATGGCAGAATGCTGCTTTTGGAGTAAATGAGTTGAGACTACCCATGCATTGTTGAAGTTTGCTGTACTTTTTTTATTTCCACAGTCATAGAGATGAATGTTTTGTGCACAACAGAAACAATCATAGCCTAGAGGGCTCAGGTCATTCCTATTACGTTTCCATGAGGCTGATGTGGTGCACTTGCAAAAAAGAGGGAGTGGTAAAAATTTTCAAAGCAAGGTACCATTGTAGGCATTTAGAGAACTGCAAGCTGCAGAAACAAAACTTAGCAGAAATCTCTAGCAAGGCATCTTCATTCAAAAATAGTGCAGGCATGATCGCGACACATACAGCTTCCTTCAACTGTGAAATTTTGCCCGGAGCAGCTTTTACTCGCTTCTTCCTCTCGCCTTGCATGAAAGTTGGGGGATTATTCAGCTTCACATTCAAGAGTTGAACGTGAGAGCGATATCCTGGCTCTATTGAGTACCGAGTTAAAAATGGCTTGTGTCAGTGAAACTTCCGCATACTGCTGCAATCTCTGTAATGGGTAGCATGCTTTAAACAGGGACATGCATCAAAGTATTTTCTTGATATCGTATATCTCGTGAAAAGTAAGCACATGCTGAGGGACAACATCTGCACTTGAATTTTCGACAGCATAAGCAAGGACAGCCAAATGGAGAAAGAAGTGGTTTATGCATGCGGTGAAGTAAGCTTTACAGAAGCAGACCGCAGCGTTTTTAAGGCTCATAAGAGGCCCAACTGCAGGCGATGAGGACCGCACAGCTTTCCCCTGCCCAACTTGAGAATTATTACCCTGTGCCACTTGGTTTTGGTCTTTTCATCCCAAAATACCTGTTGACGCAATCACGGAATGATGCCTTCATAAGACAGTGTTTTCCCACTTTTCGAAAACACTCTCATAAGTCAGTGTAAAAAGTATGTGTCCCACATCTTTTCTGTAAACTGCTGGCTTGATTTTGATGGCATTTATTTCACATGTATTAAATGAGATCAGCGTCACTCTGAAAAGCAGAGGGCACCACTCTGCAGCAGAAAAGACGTGGACGATGTCTTTGTAGTTTATGTCAATATACCACAGTCAGTTTTTATGACACCGTGTCAAGACTACAGAAGGACCTACAGAGAGTTGCATTGACAGGACGTCAGAATAGGCTTGTTGTCAGTGATACATCGTGAAAACATGTGGCACACGAAAACGGCATAGACTGAGAAAGACGACAGGATTGTGTGCTTTCCTGCACATTGTCCTGTCTTCTTCTTTAGTCCGGATTTTTCTCGCGCACCACAGGTTTTCATGATGGAAGGGTTAAATTCTTCGTTGTTCTTGTTTTTGCAATAGGTAAATTGCTTTTTAACTGGTTTTTGTTTACATTTAGAAACAAATCGCTCCTCATTTACTTTACTTCTGCTCTCTTGTGTTTAAAGTGCACTGTCTTGAGGAATTTGAGCAATGCCTTCAGGTTAATATTTGTAAGGTGGTACTACCTTTTCGGGTATTTACCACTCTTACTTTTCTTTTAGCAGGCTCTCTCTATGTAAAGTATGACAAGGTATCAGTAGGCTCACCATTCACAATGCTTATGTTATGTAGTCCTCCAAGAGATGTATTTATATATAAGTGGTTATAACAGAAGAAAAGAAAAGTGCCGACCCGTAACTGTCTCTCCTTACAAGGACACCTCAACAGGTCAGCACAGGAATGGGGTATGGGGGTAAAAGATATAGGGAGGGAAAGATTAGAAAAGAGAGAAAAAAAAAGAAAGGCGAGGGTCATTCGTTCTGCTTCTCGCAATGGACTCACAAGCCCCCACGCGCCATGCACAGCTGACTAGGAAAGCTCCCAAGGGCCGGAGAGGTATCGTCATCGAGAGGAGAACAACGGTTTGATTGGCGCGTCGTACAAAGCGCGTGAAGCACTCGCTAAAGCGCGTAATCTCTGTACGGAAAACACTGTACGGAAAACACTGTACGGAAAACCGTAGCACTCACTAATACGAGTCCAGTGGACATCGATGGGGAGGCACTAATGTTCCTTTAGTTCACAAGCGCTCAAATAGCGCAGAAGTCTTGAGAAAGGTGATGAGGGCAGCTTGCGCGCGCTTCACCAGGCATGCGTGCGCACGGGGAAAAAGAATCAGATCAACAGTGCTGGCGCAGAGTCCCAGTTTGCTGTAAGCATCGAAGAGTGATCTGCGCGCGTCCGAATACTCCTCACACTGGAAGATAATGTGATGGAGTGTTTCGGGCTGTGGGCAATGACGGCAGTTTGGGTCTCCAGTCCCGACTGTCTGTGAACCCGTTCCGCCGTGCGGTAGCAGCCGATGCGCAGGCGGAGAAGGAGGGCACGCTCCTCTCTCGAAAATCCAGTTTTCGGGAGTGGGCGTGGTGGCTGCCCTGCCGCAACTCGTGGGTCCGGGTGGCGAGCGGTGACGGAGCACCGTGTGCGAAGCCTTGCTACGTCGAATGTGCTCACCGCTGTAGTCACAGGGGTTCCCGGAGAGTGTGCTTCTTTGGCCAGCTCACCGGCCGCTTCGTTGCCGGATATTCCAACGTGAGCCGGTATCCATTGCAGCACAAGATCACACCCTAGGTCCTGCACTGCTTCGAGCTTTCGCGCGATGCGCGTGGCAACCGGAGGTCTGCGGGCGTCCTGCGCGAGTAGTTGGAGAGCAGCACGTGAGTCCGAGAGAACGGCAGCCGACGGAACTCTCAGTTGAATGAGGGCATCAGCGGCGAGGTCAAGCGCGGCGAGTTCGGCTATCGTCGACGATGCCTCGCAGGCGAGGCGGCACTGATTGTGAAGCTCCAGCGAAGGCACCACACACGCAGCCGCGGCACACCCGTCGTTCAACACTGAACCGTCAGTAAAGACGAGGAGTCGTCCCGCGAGAAGTTCGTCAAAAGTGGCAGCAGTTTCGTGCCGAAGCGCACACACTGGCGTCGTCCACTTGCTTGCCACTCCCGGTAACCTTGTCCGAATCTTGAGAGGGCGATGGTGGCAGGGCGGGGCACTATAGTCATTCACATCCGGTGAGCTCGGGATGAGGGCGTAGAATGCCGCAGCGCATTGCCCCATCCGTGAGTGCGGAAGTGAGGAGAGCCAGAATACCAGCTGCTGTCCGTGGCGCGAGCGTTTCATACGCTCTATGTGATTTAGCGCTCGAAGATCGGCCCGGAGTGACAGTGGCATGTCTCCCGCCTCAGCAAGTGTTGGGCCGATTTGAGATGATCTGGGCAAGCTGAAAAACTGGCGAATCGCGATACGATGCGCTGCGTCCTGTGTCTCCCAGTTGGAACGCGTAAGCGTTGCGAGAGGAAGGCCGTACAAAATGCGCGCCGCAGACATTCCGTTGTAGATGCGGAGAGCTAGGGACGGTGTGCATCCATTGCCGCGAGCAAGGAGCGCTCGAGCGGCGGAGGCGACCCTTCGCGCGTTTCGAAGCTGGTCGCTGACCGCTGGTGACCAGTTGAGGCGTTGGTCCAGTAGCCAAAAGAACACAGCTCACCTTTCCTGAAGATCCAAGTGTAAGAAAGCGAAGCAGCAGACGGCTCCAAGGCACGATCTGTGCGGGTCACGTTTAGTGGAGCTGCAATCAAAAAAGAGGGAATAAAAAGTGTATCCCCAGAGCTTGTTATGTAGTTTTACTATACTCCAATAGCATTAGCATATATATATATATATATATATATATATATATATATATATGGTCCAGTAGATCCTCCGTGAGCGGTCACAACGTGGTTTATTTCGACGTTTCGGCCTAGAGTCTGGCCTTCATCAGGATTAAAGATACAGTTTGTTGGTGCTCAGCTTTATACAATCTCAAATCAGAGGGCAAGGAAAGAGGAAAAAAAGACATAAAAAAATAAAAAAGAAAGAAAAGAAAAAGGAAAGAAGAAGAAGAAAAAGAGAAGAAGAGAAAAATAATATACGGTGGACGCCCCTCGGGTGCCCCCCTTCCACTTTTCCCTCCACTTCCCCCTTCATCTCTATCCCCCCACTCCCCTTCACCTTTCTGATGTCAGCGGTCTGTGTATGTTTCCGTTCACTAACGCATTCCTCCCGATCAGACGGCCCCTCCGGGCACTGGCGGTTCAG